GGAGGGTTCAACAGTAGTAATTATTATTTCTGCTTGCAGAAGGGTTTGAAGCATTGTGGAACAAATATTGTAAAAGAGAAGAAGGCGGATTTCATAAGGCGTAGTAACGCAGCAGAAATAGTTTGGAAGGCACTGCACGTGAACGAATTAGAGACCCTGGAAAAATCATATGAATTACACGCTTTAAAAATGGAGGACATTTAAAGTATGCATATGAGTGAGCAAAAAAAAAAAAAAAATGAGACTGGGCACACTTTGAGAGGCCAAGGTAGGAGGATCACTTGAGGCCAGGAGCTTGAGACCCTGTCTCAAAAACAAAACAAAACAAAATGGTTAGGGTGCTAACTTTTATGTTATATGTATTTTACAACAATAAAAAACAAATATATACTAGAACTAAGTGAATGTAAAAGGCTACAGGCTACAAGGTCACAAAAAATTCAATTGTAGTACTCTATTATACTCCATCAAGGGAAATTGGAAATTTAAATTTAAAAAACAGTACCATTTGCCACAGCACCAAAAACCAGGAATTACTTAGGTATAATATCAACCTAAAAAATACGTGCAAAATTCCTATGCTGAAAGGTACAAAACACTGATGGAGCCGGGCGTGGTGGCTCACGCCTGTAATCCTAGCACTTTGGGAGGCCGAGGCGTGCGGATTGCTCAAGGTCAGGAGTTCGAAACCAGCCTGAGCAAGACCCCGTCTCTACCAAAAATAGAAATAAATTAACTGACCAACTAAAAATATATATACAAAAAATTAGCTGGGCATGGTGGCGCATGCCTGTAGTCCCAGCTACTCGGGAGGCTGAGGCAGGAGGATCGCTGAGCCCCGGAGAGTGAGGTTGCTGTGAGCCAGGCTGACGCCACGGCACTCACTCTAGCCTGGGCAACAAAGTGAGACTCTGTCTCCAAAAAAAAAAAACAAAACAAAACACTGATGGAAAGAAATCAAAGATGACCCCCAAATAAATGTAGACATACTGCATTCCTAGATTAAGGTGTTGATTTTCTCTGACCTGATCTATAAATACAACTCCATTTCAGCTGGTTATTGTGTAGACATCGACAGCTAATTTCAAAATTCTTACTAGAAAAGCTAGAGAACTAAAATAGCCAAAATCATTCTGAAAATGAAGAACAGTTGGGAGACTCACACTTTGAGTTCTGGCCTTAACAATAAAGCTGCAGTAATCAAGACTGCGGGAGAAGGCACAGACACATCAATCAATACGACAGGAATAGACTCACACATACAAGGTCAATTGATTTTCTACAAAGGCAATTCAATGGAGAAAGGACAGTCTTTTCAACACATCATGCTGGAACAACTAGATAACCAAGTGCAAAAAAATGAACCTCCATTTGTTCCTTGTACCACATACAAAACCTCACTCAGATCATGTCTCCAATTGGAAATTATTAACATTTCTAGAAGAATATATGGGGGAAATTTTTAGGACTGTAAGTCAAAGATTTCTCAGCTATTTAAGTCTAAATAATATTCCATCGTATATATGCATACCACATTTTGTTTATTCCATCACCTGTCTATGGATATTTGGGGAGAAAAAAAACATTTAATCCTTGTAAAACTTAAATATCGAGGACTACAGCTGGAACCTGTACCATAGTTGGAGAAACGCTCCTATATGGGATAGAAAATTTGCTCAGAGGGCGAGCTGAGTGAGAGCCAGATGTGGAGGGTGACACAAAGGGTTTGTGGGCCCAGCTGAGAACTCAGGGCTCCGAAGCCCGAGGCAGCGAGTCCCGCTCCTCCTGCCCAAGTTGTGCCCCAGCGGATGGGGACGTGCCGGGCAGCCCTGTCCTTTTAACAAGAGAGATGGCATTAGCACCGTTAGCACTGACAGGCAACATCTGAGCGGTAAAGAGGCGCCCGCCAGTGGGGCGTGGAACCCCAAGAGTCTCGGGCAAGTCCTCTGGAAGCGTCAGCCGCCTTGAACGCGCGTGTGAACCTTTGTTCAGATGCAAGGCACACGACGCGAAACAGAGGCGGGAAAACCGGTGGCTGCAAAAATCCTGCCATTTGCTACATCTCTGTCCTCTGACCACCCGAGCACGGTTGCCAAAGTCGTTTCTAGTTCCTTTTCCCAAAAAACCGAAAGCCACCCCTCTGCTCCGGTTTGCAAAACGCCTCCCTGCGGTAACCCTGTCCCGAGCGTCGCCAGGGAGCGCGCGCGACTCGGGGACGGAAAGGCGGCGCGCCCGGCTGGGGCGAGCCTCATCACGCACGCGAAGTCGGGGGACCCGGACGTCGCCCCAAGCGGAGCCTCGTGGTGAGGCGCGCGGGAGCTAGAGAGCTGGGGGCGGGCGGGGGCCACAGAGACCCCGGGGTGGGGGCGACAGGGACCTGGGGGCGACAGAAACCGGGGTGGGGGCGACAGGGACCTGAGGGTGGGTCGGTGACCACAGAAACGCAGGGGTGGGGGGCGACAGGGACCTGGGGCGGGGTGGGGGCGACAGAAACCAGGGTGGGGGTGACAGGGACCTGGGGGCGGGTGGTGACAGAAACGCCAGGGTGGGGGTGACAGGGACCTGGGGGCGGGTGGTGACAGAAACGCCAGGGTGAGGGTGACAGGGACCTGGGGGCGGGGTGGGGCCACAAAAACGCAGGGATGGGGGTGACAGGGACCCGGAGGCCGGTGGAGGTGACAGAAACGCCAGGGTGGGGGGGTCGACAGAGACCTGGGTGGGGTCGACAGAGACCTGGGTGGGGGCGACAGAAATTTCGGGCTGGGGGTCGACAGAGACCTGGGTGGGGGCGACAGGGACCCGGGGACGGCTGGGGGCGACAGAAACTTCGGGCTGGGGGTCGACAGAGACCTGGGTGGGGACGACAGAAGCCCCGGGCTGGGGGCGACAGGGGCCCGGGGGCGGCTGGGGGTGCAGGCCCGGGGCCGAGGAGCCGCGGCCCGTCGGGGACATGGCCGTGCAGGGCGGGGCGGGCCGGGCCGCCCCTCCGGTGAGGCGGCCGCAGCCGCACCTCAGTTTCCGACAAACACCCGCTTATGGCGCCGAGAGCGCCCCACACAGCGCCCGCGACACGCTTCGGGGAACTTTCTCGCAGCTTCCGTGAAACCGAGGCGCCGGCGTCCGGTGCGGCCCCACCCGGGTCGGGCCCCGCGGCCCCGCGCGGCGAGCCCACCTTCAGCACCAGGACCTCGAGCATCTTCGCGGCGGCGCCGGGGCGCGCTCGGCCGGCCCCGCACGGCCCCGCACAGCTC